TTAGGAAGTTTAGGGTTTAGGAAATTTAGGGTTTAGGAAATTTAGGGTTTAGGGTTTAGGAAGTTTAGGGTTTAGGATTTAGGGTTTATGCCCTATTACCCTAAACCCTAGACCCTACACCTTTAGGATTTAGGGTATAGGGTTCAGGGTTGCTGCACTTGGCGAACTTTACTTGTGGATGTCCGTCTTCGGCGCAGGAGCTCAGAAGCTTCGTGCTCTAAACGCTAGATCAACGTCTTAGGGGTTTAGGGTTGAAGGGTTTAGGGTTTAGGGTTTGGGGTTGAAGGTTTAGGGTCCTGAATCGACGCCACAGAACAACTCCTTGAAATTGCGCCCTTAGGTGGGAGCTTCAGAAATTCAAGCGGCTGTAGATTCCACTGGTAGGTGATATTTGGGATCCTCTTTCCATGGACCCCCCCTCACCAGGAAACAGCAAGAGTCGAAACCCCTGCACGACCTCGGACGTAAACCCTAAAGTGTTTAGGTTTAGGGTAACCCTAACCCTAAACCCTAAATCCTAAACCCTAAACCCTAAACCCTGAACCCTAAACCCTAAACCCTAAACCCTAAGCCCTGAACTCCGAAGGAAGGCTCCCACCTGCTCCAGGAGGAAGGACATGGGCGCAGCCTCGTAGAGCAAGCGGAGCTTTCCATCCTGGTGTTTAGGGTTTAGGGTTTAGGGCTTAGGGTTTAGGGTTTATGGGTCTAGGGCTTCCCTATTGTATAGATTTCCTTTCGTTCTTCGTTCAATCAGTTTTGAATTTGGGATCCTACAAGGTATCTCAAAAAGTGTAACGACAATGGAGACTGTAGGTATCCCATAGATGCGATCATGAACTCCGAGCACTCTGAACCCAAACTCTAAACCCCGCATTCTACACCCCAAACCCCAAATCCCAAACTCAATATAAACTCCGAATCCTAAACACTTAACCCAAAATCCTAAAGCCTGAATCCCAAATCCTAAACCCTAAACCCAAAAAGCACCTAAACACCCACAACCCGGCGCGCATCGATCCCAGGCCCCTCCCACAAACCCCCAAGGCTCGGCTCAGGGACTTCGCAAGGGGTTTAGGGCTTAGGGCTTAGGGGGTTCAGGGTTTAGGGTTTAGGGCTTAGGGGGTTCAGGGTTTAGGGTTTAGGGCTTAGGGCTTAGGGGGTTGAGGGTTTAGGGTTTAGGGGGTTCAGGGTTTAGGGTTTAGGGTTTGGGGTGTAGGGTTTAGGTATCCTTGCCTAAAACAATCCGGGCCCCTGGATTTCTCAGTGTCTTTCACTGTAGCTCCGTCAGCAGTCGCAGAACCTCAACACTGAATCCTGGACCCTATAGAAACAAAACCCAAGATTCTAATATAGGAACCTTACTAATTAGAATAGGGTTTTAGGGGTTCCTTGTTACAAGTATAGTATACGTTACCCCAAAACGTTATTCTAATTATGAAGGCCCTGTATTGGACCCACTAGATCCGACAAGCTGTAATCCCCATGCAGATCCCGAACCAGACCTTTCACCCGCTGAACCCTTAACCCCCCATAATCCAAATGGGCCTAATAGTTAGAATGGGTTTTGGGGTCCTTTATAGTAAAGTTATAGCAAGGCCCCCCCCAAAAAAAAAATAGTATAGGTAATTCTTTAGGCCCCGATATTACCCTGAACTCCTTGTTCTTGGTGTCTGCCGGGTAGGCAAAGAGGCCACCATAGAGCAGCGTCCGGTGCACGTCTCCGACCATGGACCTGTGGAATTTGGAATACCTGCAATTGCCAATAATTTGAATAATGTAAAGCTCTATTGTAGGGTTTAGGGTTTAGGGTTTAGGGTTTAGGGTTTCGGGTTTAGGGTTTAGGGGTTTAGGGTTTAGGGTGTGACCATATGATCCCTGTTTCTCGGTTCCGGTCCCCGAACCACGACTCTGTGTTGGCCCCACGTGCCCTAGAAGCCATACTGAGCAACAGAAAGCCTAATACGGAAGCCGCAAGGCAGAATCCTACGTCTTCAACGCAGCCAAAAATATCTTGAAGGCTCACCCGTAGAACCTGCACTTTCGGGTGATAATGTAGGCGGGTTCCTTATTAGAGTTATAAGTATAATCTACCCCAAGACCCTAGTCTAATTATTAAGGTCCCTATACTAATCTCCGTTCGACGACTTAGTCGGAAGTAGGGCTATAAGCAGCCCGAGTTATTGTTTCCTTGCTTACAACCCTACTTGACTCATCTCCCTGATCCTTTGAGTACACCCAAACCAGTAAACACTAGTTTTTATTTTTTTTGTGTTTGAGGGCTCTTTCTGTCTGCACACAGTCGGCCTAAAAACAAGTTTAGGGTTTAGGGTCAAAAAACCCTAACAGCAGCCCTTAAAGAGACCACATTCAGCTATACCTATAGTCTCCATGGTAATTCCTTTTGGAGGCGACCCACTTTTTATGCTTAGGACTTAGGACAACAAACTATTTGACAAAATCAACCCAGAAAGTCTTCAAACAAAGCTGAATCCAACAAAAGCTTATAAAACAGGTAAACCCTATCTATCAGTGTACCCCAACAAAATACAACAAACAAAGAAGTTAAACCCAAACACGGGCACCACGCTGGAGGGTGCAAGCTGGAAGTTCCCGGAAGGTCGGTGCTACCGCCTGAAACCCTACCTTCACAACCCCCCCCCTCCCCCCCAAAAAACAACAACAACAACACCTAAAAATGTTGTAAGGTCCTCAAAAATCCAACTTTAGAATTTAGGGTTCGGGGTTGAGGGTTTAGAGTTCGGGGTTGAGGGTCTAGAGTTCGGGGTTCAGGGTTTATAGGGATTACAATAAGAAGCAACGAAAGAGTCGGATCTGGTCAGTTCAGGTAAAGCCCATAGACCCCACACAAAGCGACATTTTGGGTCTTGCCAACTCAGCGGGGGCGCTTTACAGGTAGCGCAGGGTTTGGGGCTTAGGGTTTGGAGTTTAGGTTTAGGGTTTACGGATTAGGGATCTCTTGGAGGGAGAAGGATTGGTTTAGGGTTTGACGTTGGGTCCTTTGAATAAGGGGACAAGGATTGGATGCCTGAACCGCTAGACTACGCTTTTGGGTGTCTATTGTCGTATAATCAACAGGGTTGGAAGGGGATATCTTTACGAATTCTCCAAACCACTGTAGAAATTCGCAGGCTGGATGTTCGACTTCAATTCGGTAGTCGGGAGAAGCGCCGCCTGAAACAAGTATGACGCTAGCTATAGTCTGGATTCTAGTTCTTTCCTTTTTGGGGGTTACCTTGTAGGATCCCAACCATAGAACTGGTCAAACCAAAAAAAGAACTAAAATGGAGACTATAGGTAAGGTCCCTAAACCCTGACCCGTAAACCCTAAATCCCTAAATCCCTAAAACCCTAAACCCTAAACCCTAAACCCGGAATCCTAACCTCGCTTCTACCATGTATTCAACAGTAGCCAGGGTCCTTAACGGGAGGTCTCTCAGGGCTTGCGTTTGCTCCGTCGTTTATGGATCCGCCACCTTAGGACACTAACCCCAAACCCCCAAACCCCTAAACCCCTAAAAGCCTAAGCCCTTACACCCTACAACCCCTCTACCCTAAACCCTAAAACCCTACAGCCGCAAAAGCCTAAACCCCAAACCCCCCTAGCAACTTCGGAGCCGGACCCGATGTACCGAAGCGAGTACTTGTCGCCGGTCTCGCCTTTGCCCATCTGGATGTCCTGGCGTTTAGGGTTTAGGGCTTATAGGGCTTAGGGTTTAGAGTTTAGGGTTTAGGGTCTAGGGCTTAGGGCTTGGGTTTAGGGTCTAGGGCTTAGGGTTTAGGGCGGTTTAGGGTCTAGGGCTTAGGGCTTAGGGCGTAGGGTTTAGGCACGTTCTAACTCGGGGTCGGCTTGGGTGTAGGGTCTAGGGCTTAGCATGCAGGTGCTGTAGCTGCTGTAAGCCTTTTAGGGTCCACGTATCTGATCATTCTAACAGTCTAACCTAGAAACTAAGTATCCTAAACTCAGGTTCCTTCATCAAGTTCCTCTATGAACCCTAAACACCCTCATTGCAGGGAGCCTCAATGCCATTTATTTCCGGCTTCATGACACCTCGAACTTCGCAGGGTTTAGGATTAGATTTCAGGGCTTTGGGAAACCATGACCCTCAAGCCTAAACCCAAAGCCCAACACGTCGGAGCTGTTGTTTCCTCCGCCGTGCGCGCATGCAATCCAAACTCAAACTGCCGGGTGACAGATTGCCTGTACAAAGCTGGTCGATCTGCAGGAGGCGAAACTGCCGTCTGATACATCTTCCAAGCGTTATCTTAGCATAGGATTCTAAAGATTTATAGATACACCCTAAAATGTAAGTGCTTGCAACCAAAGCCCGAAACCCTTTAAACCCAAAGCCCTGTGGTAAACCCCTACACCCCAACACACTAGCCTCTGGGTCAGGCGGCGGTCCAGCTCCACGAACAAAGATTCCCTCACAACTCACGCAAGCAAATGACAGGGTCTCAGCACCACCAGGTAGTTTAGGGTTTAGGGCTTACAGGTAGCACATGAAACGCATTCTGTTGAAGAGCGGTTCAGAGAATCCTGAAACCGGACGGCTTTCACCCCAGAAGGGCGCCAACCAATCTAGTGGCCTTAAGTTGAAGAGGGTTTGGGGTGGGATTCGTTAATTATAGTATATTTATAGGTCTTGGTTTATGTAAAGGCTCTAACCTGCACCGGAACCCTTAGCCAAAACGCATCCCAAACCGAACACGCAAAGAGCTCCAGTGTTTAGCTGACCGCATCGATACGACAGCTCCTCAAGAAGGCCCGCCTCTACCTGCACCCTCGACTCGAAATCCTTCCCCCGAACTGCAATTCGTGCTTCGAAGGGTTACGGATGTTTGCGAACTTCAAAGACGACAGGTCATTCGGATTTAAGATACTTGCTTCTTGTTTGCGATAGGCCTTAGGACAGGAGGGTCGGAAGCCGTCATTTGCGCAGCAACTGTTGATGGACGAAATCCTGCCTTGCCTTGGCTAATGTAGGGGCCTTAATACTTGGAACAGGGTTTCGGGGCCCTTGATAGTATAGTTCTAACAAGGAACACCCAAGATAGTATGGGCAATTATTTAGGCCTATACTATGCCAGTTCCAATGCCCATGACTGGTTATGCAGAAGTTCGTCCATCAACCGAATGAGCCTCGTTTCAAGACTTCGTTAGCATTGCAAAAAAGCGGCTGAAGGGAGGCAGGCCGAGGTCTGAACTTGCACAACAGCCGACCGCTATGACGCCATGAGCATGACATGCTCCCATCAAAGGGGCTCGCTATAGGCTATCCTGGCATACGGGGTCCATCCATCTGTCTGTCTCTCTCTCTCTCTCTCTCTCTATCTCTCTTGTTTTTGTTTTCTCTTTCTCTCTCTCTCTCTTTTTATCTTTCTCTTTATTGTTTCTGTATCTGTCTCTCTCTCGATCTCCCTCTCTCCCCTCTCTGCATACATAAAAGTATGTGAACATATCCATTCATTTGTATACACATGCAAAGTGTGTGCATTCATAATAAATACATGAATAAATACAGATGTGTATATATATATATAT